AATAATAATGGCTTAAATAAATGATGGCATCTATAGGATCAGCATGGTTAAGTTATGCCATGTAATAAACTTCTAAAGTCTCAGTGGCTTACTACAACAAAGGTATATTTCTTGCTCACACTATGTCCTTTGCGGGTTATTTGCAGCCCTACTCTACAGTATCTTTATTGGGGGATCAGGCTGAAGGAGCTGTCCCTACTTGGAATATTGCTGGTCTTGTGGAAGGAGGAAAAGAGAAAGTGGAGTGAAACCACCCAATGGTTCCTGGTAAATTTTATATTTAGCAATGGCCTGTGTCACTTTCACTGTCATTCTTTTGGCCAAAGCAAGTACATGGCAAGCCTCCCAGCAATGGAGGGAAGGTATGTAATCTCCATGTGGAGAGAAACAGCAATGTTTTGAACAATAATATAGTCTACCACAGGGCTTATTTTTCTCTCATATAAAACAAATACAGATATTGTCAGGCCAGCACTGATATGGCAGCTCCATGTCATCAGAGATGAGTGCCCTTTCTTTCTGTTCCATCATCTTTGGCGTGTGGCTTTCATCCAAGATGGCTGCCAGTGCCCTCGCCAGCATGCCCTGCAGTTCCTAGTAGGAAGAAAGGGAAAGGGAGGAAGAACAAAGAAGGTTCAGCTCTAAATGAGTCAGCCCCCTTTAGAAGGCCTTCCCAGAAACCCCATACAATGTCAACTTCTTTGTCATTGGTCAACCCCAACTGCAAAAGAGGATGAGAAATGGAGTCTTTTAAGTGGAACTGAATCACCCTGAAGAAATTTTGAGTTAAGTTAGTAAGGAAGAAAAGAAGAACTTCTAGCAGCATATGCCACTCATGATCTAGCGAAGATGACAGCAAGGCCAAGCATGGTGGCTCACGCCTGTAATCCTAGCACATTGGGAGGCTGAGGCAGGTGGGTTGCTTGAGATCTGGGGTTAAGTGTTGCATCACAGCTCACAGCAACCTCAAACTACTGGGCTCAAGCGATCATCTTACCTCAGCTTCCCAAGTAGCTGGGACTATAGACACCCGCCACAATGTTGGGCTATTTTTCTGTTTCTATTTTTTTATTTTATTTTATTTATTTTGTGGAGACGGAGTCTCACTTTGTTATCCTCGGTAGAGTGCCCTGGTGTCATAGCACACAGCAACTTCAAACTCTTGGGTTCAAGCGATTCTCTTGCCTCAGCCTCCCAAATAGCTGGGACTATAGCCACCTGCCACGACACCTGGCTATTTGTTTGTTTATTCGTTTGAGACAGAGTCTCATGCTGTCACCCTGGGTAGAGTGCATTGGCATGATAGCTCATAGCAACTTCCAACTCTTGGGCTCAAGCGATCTTTTTGTCT